TTGTTTGACTGTTAAAGGCCCGGACACACCGAGCCGATTTCGGCCGTCGATAGATGTCTGGCCGTCGATGAGCGTCCTGTCGCCCTACTCAGATTGGTGTGTCCCGCACCGTCGTGTCTTTTCGGCCGTGCTGACACCTTCCGCCGCCGATTCGTCCAGTATTTCTTCAGTTGTAGATCCTGCTACAGTAAATGTCTACAACATCCTATTTTACTGTGATGACACACTGGCAAACAATACCAAAGTCTAACAAATGGCTGATTTCTTGAGTATTGGTGTAAGAACACGCTGGGAATTATGACTCTGGCATATGACACCTGGATGAGGGTGACAGTGTATGGGTTTAAAGAGAAAACAGTGTGTTCTGGAGTTTTGACGCAGGTTGTCATCTTAGGTGTGTGTAGCGCTCTATTTGGTATATTTGTGGACTACACAAGTATATTATGTGTATTGAAACTTGGAGACAAAAAGGGAAAATAACTCCCTTTTCACTCTTTGGTTTGATACAAATTTGGTTTAAATAAATTGAAGGCTCAGTATAAGCAACGACTTTGTGATTTCTAGTGGCTCAGGCAATAAGGAAACACTAAGGGGTTTCAGCTAAGCATCATCATTGCTGAAAGCACTTAGCTGTACCATTGGCTTTTATTACTGATACACATTATGAATATTCTTACTGTACTCCCCATAGTGATATGGTATAAAGAAAGCTGTCAGTGAATTAGCTCTTATTTTTCTCCTCTTTGTCTGTATTTCTGTCTTCCTCCCTCTCTCCCTAATTAAAAAGCCAAATCAGGAGTTTGGCTGTACAAACCGTGTCTGCCACTGACATTCTCCTGCCTAATCCTCGTGTTTGCCCTCTCTCTCTCTCTCTCTCTCTCTCTCTCTCTCTCTCTCTCTCTCTCTCTCTCTCTCTCTCTCTCTCTCTCTCTCTCTCTCTCTCTCTCTCTCTCTCTCTCTCTCTCTCTCTCTCTCACCAAAATCTTTTCTCCCCAAACACATAGATTTATTCAACTGCATCATTTACATAATACAGTATTTACATAATTGATTTCCAAGGAACCATTCTCACCATGTGAGATCTCTCTCTCTCTCTCACACACACACACACACACACACACACACACACACACACACACACACACACACACATAAACACGCTCTGTTGGCAGACCATTGAGGTTTCAAGTCTAAATCAAGCATGAAGCCGGTGCATCTGGTGACCCTCATGCTACAACCACAGCAAACATGATACAGCTAAGCATAGATATTCAAATGCTTTGAAATCCATTGAGTCGGTGTGTTTAGAAGGGGCATAACTGTTGCTTGGGAATTATTTTCCCTTTTCAACTGTAAAATAGTTTTGAAGATACATTGAATAATGTAGGTTTTTTTTAGCTACCATTTCTTGTTATTAAACTTAGGCCCCGGCCACACGAGAACGATAACGGTCGAATCTGCTACAGTTCACTATCAGATAGACGGTTCGGCCACACGAGGCCGACATGGAAACGCAGAAAACGATAACGATAACGGGTCCCAAGGTGGGTAGATCTGCAAACAAAACGCTCTGGGGGGGCAAACGGCTCCGTGTTTACGCCTATACGATCATTTCCTGATCCACTCGGGGAATGTCAGAGAGCATCAATACTTTCTTCTTTCTACTGTGCATATATCACTTTTTTTCGTTTTCTTTAAAATTTGATGTGTAAAATCACTGCAAAAAACTATTTATTTATGCTTTATTTTATAGCGACAAATACAGTATACAAGTACAAACTGAAAACAGCTATCCAATGCAAGTATAAGACTGTGTCTGCAGAAAAGTGGAGACACTGAAGCAGGCACACACTCTCCTGTCACCTCCACCACATATTGGCTTTTTAAACGAGCAAAACAAAAGTCTGGAAATATAGCCAGTAACAGCTATTGCACAATAATCACACATCATGTCCTCATTATCAGTCCTAATATGAATGCAGGCCAAGTGCACAACAACATAACTTTGATAAATAAATAAATAATTGTGTTTACGTATCAAACTTGATATCCCAGCGTGGGGGATGCTCCTGATTGTCGCGATTATTTTGGGAAATTGTGGAGCAATCAGTCTGATTGCTGGAAACATATAAAAGGCTGCGTTGCTTTATGCTGCATGATGGATGCACTGCCACTGTTAAGATTACACACCTTGATGTTTGTGTCTCTTCCTCAGGGTAGTTACCATGATTAACCGTAAAAAAAACACAGCAGGTTTATTTCTATGAATAAACATCCTTGGCTTTAACCATTTATGGTTAAATACGGGCATGTTGTGGGGGGGATATCAGGCTGATCCACATGTGGACCATTCAATGTTGATCTAGGATTTTAAGAAAAGGAAATTGCCCACTGGTATTCAGACAAGAAGTTTTATAAATCTGAATATCTTTGCAGTATGAGCATTTTCCAATGTGTACGTACAGCTTTTTAGTGTGACAGCAACAGTTTTCTTATACTTGCTTACTTATTTCCTAGACTATAAAGTGACGGAAATGGAGGGTCATTATTCTTATTGTTGACTAACGGTATATACGTTTTGTTGCTATGGTTACCTGCAGTTAAGTATATCAATGGTATATCCATCAGGGCTGCTCGATTATGGCAAAAATCATAATCACGATTATTTTGGTCAATAATTGATATCACGATTATTAAATACGATTATCCATTGACTTTGAAAATATCCATTTATTGAGCTTTAAAACAAATTCAAATAATAATTTAAACAGTATCTTTTTAACTGTTGATTACCCTGAACGTATAATTCAACTGAAAAACCAATACAAATATAAATATGATACATTTATATTTACATTTAAATAAATAATATCAAAATAATAAATACCAATAAACAAGATCAACAAATATTTTGGAGCGCACTTCCACAAGCTACTAAACATATATTAATATGATAAATAAAAATAAATTAGATCAAATATGTTGCAGTGTACTGTCACAACCAAGCAAACCAATTTTTTTTTCGATGACGTTGTTTCGTAATTGTGGCAGGCCAAAATCGTAATTGCGATTAAAATACGATTCATTGCACAGCCCTAATATCCATATGTGCTTTCTATAAGTATCTAATCAGCGTCTCTTCTTAATTAGCTTGATTAATAATGCATTAATGCTACTTGTACAAACTTTATCTCAGTAAAAATCTGCGGGAATAAATTAGCCGTATCCTTATTACCGACCTACTGAATACCTGCCTGCTCGTGCTTTTGCTAGCTCAGTGCCTCCAGACTCTTAATGTGCAGACTGAAGCTGCTGACTGTTGGTCCCCAGGGAGCTAAGAGTCGCAAAAAACCAACAACGAGTGGATGTACCTGAAATGCTGTTGCCCGTTTTGGCCCATGGACCCACCAAACTGCTGGGTGTGTGTTTGTCTGCGTCTGTATCACAACAAGCCATTTCACCTCACTTCAAAAGTATTTAGTCTAATGGAAAATGGGACCTCCACACTCCTGTGAGCACTCTGTGGGGGTCCACACACACACACAGACAGACAGACAGACGCAGTCATATATTCAGTGTAGGGCCCGCCACCAAAGAGCAGCGAGGTTAAACAGATGGTATCGCTTGTATCTGTTACACAGATTACCCAACACACCATCACACACACGCACACACATACATTTTGCAGCAACCGGCTTTGTGAGTTCACCTCATTTAACTGAATGGAGTTTTTATGAGGCATGGCAACATTAAAGCCACCCACCGCTCTAATCTATCCCCTCCTGCTCTGTTTTTAATGCCGGACTGGGGAGCACTTGGACGAGTGGGCAAGGCTACACCCAGCGTCCTGTTTGTCTGTTTAACAAACTTGAACTATAATTGTTTGATTTGGTGATAAAACTATATTACAGATAATACTTTAGCATTAACTATCATACTTTGCAATGTTTTAGTAATCTTTTAAGTACGCAGTTGTATCAATTCTCATAAAAAAACGGATAGTAAGCTGCTAGTTCTCAGTCCAGACCCAAGTTGTTAAAGAAGTTGTGAGTTTATCTGTTGTAAAGAACACAATAAACCATATCTGTATAGCAACGTTGCCTTTTTAAATATTCATGTGCAAGCACAAAACAAACTGTATTTTAATATAACTAATTTAAGAGGGTTTGCATGGGATTTTCATTGGTTTTATGGATTGTTATTAAAGCAATATTTAAACTGGACTTTCATTTGATGTTATCCCTTATGCATAAGTACATCATGCGGCATACGAGCACCAACTGTTGTGAGACTTATTGGCACTATATCCTTATACATGTTAATAACATTATTTTGTCTTCACCTTTATAGCTAAGTGGCCAATGCATGTACTTGTTAACCACACTGGTAACACGTTTAAGGCCTGTGTTGAAACACTGAGATACTTGCTTCAGTAATTTGACATTTACTTGCATCTCAACTTCCTAATAAAACTTTTTTTTTTAAATAGCCCTTCAGCCTCAAATGTGCAACTTGTACAAAAAGGTATTGTGACCCTTTTGACTGGCTGCATTCACATGACACACTGAAAATGATTGCCTAGCACTGCGCTCAAAGTTTAAATGATTTCAATGCAACAACCAATCTGATGACAGACTTATGTACATAGCTTTGCAAGCTAGCACCTAGCGGGGGACATAACCATAGAAACAAAACTAACTAGCTGTCCTCACTGCAAGGCTCCGCGCCCAACCTCAGGGTGAGAAAAATATCAAATCATGTGAATGCAGCTTTAACCTTTATTCCTTTTATCAATTACTTCAACTTTTATTGCTTTCTCTTTGCAGCATTTCCTCTCCGTAACCGCCTCATTCTTGAGTGCCACTTTATTCAGCTTTACCTCACCTCACTTTTTTATTTTCCTTTTAATCAACCCTTTTTGTCTCTATCATTTCTCCCATCCCCGCGCTTCTTCATACCCTCGGCTGTCTCACTAACCCGGCTCCTTCTCTCCCTCCTAGCCAGCAGATTTGGATGCCTGGGTAAGCAACACTACCATTGCTGCTGCCTCCTTTTTATTAAAAATACTATATTTCTCTACCTTTTCCCTTCCCTCTCTCTCTTGCCTATTCAAATGTCATGTTTTCATTGTGCATTAAAGCGAGGCTGCGAGTGCCACCATTCCACACAACAACACTTTGGGAGGTATTCAGCTAGAAAATTACACATCATCTGTGCTGCTAGCAGAGGTGATTTGACACACAAACACACGTACACACACAGCTCTTAAGCATCAAACAGCCGCTGCGGAAAGAGAGAGTGCATTGAGCACAGTATAGGGATTTGCAGATGTGCTCTTTGGTGTCTGTTAAGTTAGGATAAGATTTGATTGGATTACAATGAATGTAATGTCAATCTGTGTGTGTGTGTGTGTGTGTGTGTGTGTGTGTGTGTGTGTGTGTGTGTGTGTGTGTGTGTGTGTGTGTGTGTGTGTGTGTGTGTGTGTGTGTGTGTGTGTGTGTGTGTGTGTGTTCACCAGCAAAGAGAGCAGAAGAAGAGTAGATCATCCAAGGAAGATGGTGTTGCTCCATCTGATCTATATCACACTCACTAATGCACAACTCGGCTACAGCAATCTGTCACCATTACACATGGCACAGAATGTGCGCCTGTTTGTAATACACTTTTTCAATACTACATAAATCCATGCCCCATTGCTGCCTTTTTTCCCTCACTCCTATCTACAGTAGCTTCATTGTGTTCATGCACCATATAATGTTGATACTGCTATAACACTGTTTCACTGATTGTGTTTAAACAATGTGCATTCATGAGTGAGCTAGCTACTGATTGATAATCATGTGAATATGCAGGCAAACATTATTCAGATCAAACGTTTGAATGGCGAGGACAATTCAACCACACTGTGCGCATGTTTATTATCCTTTTGATGCATTTAGCTTTTCTATGTGATTGTGAGGCTGCTCAGGCTCTGCTTTGATCTGCTGCACACTCTACACACAGCATGGGCACACTTCTGACAGACCAACAGATTCTAAACCAGGCTGCAAGGTTTGGAGTGTATCAGTGAGATTCAGTTTGCTGCTATTCACGTCAGATACAGTATATGGCATGTTTTCTGGAAATAGCTTTGATATGTTTTCATGTAAAAACACTGCCAAAATACACCACTGACTAGAAGGCTTCATGCGACATGTATAATCCTTGCTTTTATGTTCCAAGAGAAAACCTTCTTTGAAACATAAACATTAAATAAGATACAAGTCAGAATCTAAATGTAGCGTCATGCTCTTCTTCTTTGACTATCTCTCTATTATTTTCCTTTTGCAGCGCTGCAATAGCTCTTCATTACTCTTTCTCTGTTTATCATATAACCGTGATACATATTTACCACAAGCAAGTAATCCCTTTTAATTCCACTTTATGTGATTGTGTAATGATATTGACGCACTGTGAAGCCTCCAGATATTAAACCAAGTTGTCTAACATCTTCTAGTGAATCTTAACTAAACCCCTGATGCATGTTCCCTTCTGGAGCTGAGCTTGTTTTCACAGTGTCTCTTCTATCTTCCTCTGCTTGCATGCTGCTCTGCCATGGCCCAAACTCTGGGTCTTCCTACAGACTTCCATCTTGCTGCTTGTCAAAGCTTGGCTCAGTGGGCATGTAACAGCCTTTCACCTCATCCTAACGCCAGCATCACCATGTCAGCTTCTGCCGCCGCCGGAGTAGTTTTGTAAGTTCTGTTACAGTCGATGGACTAGCTACGAAATAGCCATTTGCGTTTTACTTTGTTGTGTATGTGATGTGATCTACCTTTCATATTGTTTTATATTTCCATCATACATTTGTCATAGATCCATAACATAGTGATGTTTCAGGTAACACATGCAGAAAAATAATGCATTGACATCATGAACCTGCAATTTGATGCTATATCCATTAACAACACACTTTTGGAGAGTTCTGTTGTGTCCTAAAATGTCTTAGACACTATTTTATGTTTTGTTCGCTCCCTGATGCAGAAGAAGTGGGTTTAGGTAAGGGTTCTGGTTAGTCTTTTGGGCACTGACAGAAACACATTGCCTTATTCTTCCCCCCTCAGCATGAAATATCTATTTTAGTACCTGGATTGATTTTTTTCTCTCCTGTTATTTAGCAAGCAGTCAGAATGATGTATTTTCACAGGTCATATTAATAGATTAAAATGTCATGATGCAATATAAAGAACCTGTTCAATAGCTTTTTAAAAGCAATGTTTTTTATTTATTTAATTTGTACCTTATTATGTCATTTATAATTCTACTCTCCCCTCCCCTTTTCAGGCCAACCAGCTGGAGAACAAAGAGAAGGAACTGGCCAGCATATCCAGCTTCTATAAACAGCAACTAGAAATACTGGACAAAAAGGTAAAGACGGTTTCATCTTATAAACATGTCATTAAGAGGAAATAATCAGAAACGCTCTTTCTATGAACATTCTTCAGTTAAGAGAGCAGTAGAACGTCTAGCACTCCTTGTGATATGTATAACAGAAGACCTTAGAAACCAGATTCAAACGTCCTCTAGGCTTTTACTGAAAAAAGTCCTCACACTTCAGGAATAGCAAAACAAGTCCTAACATGACATATTACTCACTCTCCTCAATCTCTTTGCCGATACAAGACACTCTTCCTTATCTTGGAAATGTCAAGCCCACATGCCAATGTCAGGAGGCAGATGTAAATGAATTGAAAGTCTCAGCAGGCGGATGAGAGTCACGGCTCTCCAGCACTCAGCAGCGGTCTCCCAGCGCGCTGAGAGCTGCAGTCGTCTAATCAAAAGTACTGTGGCTTTCTCTTCACTGTGTCCTTTAGCCGGCAACCCAGTGGTCTTTTTTTAAAATAAATAAAAGCAGTTTGTCGGGTGCTTTTAAGAAATTATGGCCTGTGTTCCCTCCATCTCAACACTAATGTGTTGTTGATATTTCGCATCCTTTCGCAAAAGCCAAATGCACAGGGGTCTGATAATGTTGCTTGCTTAAAGAGTAAACTTGGGCGGATTTGTTAAAGTACTCTGAGAGAAGCAAGGTCAGTGATGGTGCATGATTTCAGGGCAGGAAAAAAGTGCTTTATGCTTCTAGGGAATGGAAAGTGGCTTAGAGGAAGCACACTAGGTAGGAGAGTAACACTACACCATGCAAGTAAAGACAGGAAGGACATTTCAGAAAAACACAGATGAATAGTACACTGAACATTTTAAAATAAGACTTGGAGAAAAAGATTAGTACAAAAATAAAATCGTTAGTAATTATTGAGACTGGTGGCTGCTAATTGAACTGCAGTCAGCATCCTGTTCATCATGGAAAACAGTGACGTTTAAAGTGATCCCCAGAAACAGACAAAGGGTCTTCGATGTATCAGATGCCCTGACAAGTTTTATTAGGGGTGTTATGATATTGTCATTAATAAGTCAACTTTTACTGTGTGCTTTTTCTTTTATGATCGTCTGACGTCAGTAAGACAGGCTCCCCTAGATAAAACCTTTTTTAATGCTTACATGGAATTTGTGTTGGACTCTCTGCTATATTGTGTGATCTAATGTAAGTGTTGCACAAGACCACTGTATTGCAGCTAACGAGAGGCAAGGCATTCAGCGACGCAATGTCACATCCTTTACTTACATTACAATCCATTCAAACATAGACACATTGCTTCCTAAATGAACTGAAACTTCACCCCCCCCCCCCCCTCGCCTGCCTATCCTGTGTTTCTCCTCACAACCGCAGATCTCCCTCCAGTATTCAGTAGACAGTCTGTGGGACTTGACTCCCCCTCCACGTCTCTCCCTGCGTCCGGCAGGGCCCATCAGGCAGACGGGGGACCTTATCTAGTCCCTGGCACTCGCCTCCTTTAGGCCTCTGAGAAAACCTTTTTACATAGCCAAGTTAAATGGAGGGGCCCCTGCACGCCGTGCGGCAAGCAGCACACTGCGCCGCAATGCTTGACGGAAGAGACTGATTGGCAGAAGAGTGGAGGATGCTCTATCTCTCTCCGCTCGCCGCCGCAGTCGCTTTTTCTATCGCCTTTTTTCACCCCTCACTTGCTCGCAGCTGACCTGCATGCGGATGAGGGAGTGAGAAAGAGGCAGACTGGTAGCAGGAGATAAAGAGGCTATATGGACTGTGCATTAAACAGTCTATCCTGAGCCAGCGCCCTGAGCCGCCGTAACTCTCCCTCCTTCATTTTCCAATCTAGCACTCCATTCATCCACGCCTCCTTTTATGCCCCCTTTCCTTTACACTGCCTATTTTACTTTCCTTTCACATTCTCATACCTGTAGCAAACACCAGTTGGCTTGAAATAAATGGCCACTTAGAAGTTGAATTGTGACTGACAAAGCTTATATACATGAAATGCAAAAACTACTTAAAATCCTAATGTCTCAAGAGTATAAATTATGATTTGAAGATAGCTTTACATTGCTCTGTCCTGGCCTCTCATCCCTCAATGTTTTATTCGATATTTTGTATGCAAAGCAGAGATTTAAAGGTGTTGAACACCATGGTCCACACATGTATATCAGTCTGTGTGGTTGTCTTTACATATGCTAATAGGTCAGAGTTTATCCATAGAATTGTAAGAATGTAAAATACATGCACAAGCAGACACGCAATTGCCCTGATGTGTCGATGATATGAGGAAAAGATTTAAGCAAAAGGCAAGGGCAGCCAAATTAGAAGGAGAATCCACTGGTAATTGGTGTGTGATCTTCCCCTGAATCAACACTCTGGCCAATCAGCAGCCCCTTCCAACTGGCTTGTGTGTGTGTGTGTGTGTGTGTGTGTGTGTGTGTGTTGTGTGTGTGTGTGTGTGTGTGTGTGTGTGTGTGTGTGTGTGTGTGTGTGTGTGTGTGTGTGTGTGTGTGTGTGGATTACCTGTATGAAAACACACACTTACACACTCTGATGTCCAGTTTGCCCAAGGGATAAATGACGATAACCCATTATTGTGTTTGTCTAAAGGCTGTGCATGCAGCAGTGTGTTTGTGTGTGTGTTGGCACAACATGTTTGTATGTATGCTGTCACTTCAGAAGTAATTGTGACAGAGTGGCCAATCCACTGTACAACTTTGTGTTTCCTCTCTTCCCACACGGAGAGACATCCCAAGACACCCTGCAAACATCCTCTCCTTCTCTTTACCAATCCTTTCCCCTCTCCGCTTATTTGTGGATGCCTTCCTAATCTCTTCCCAGTGTACAGGTGGAGTATATCTGTCTCCCTGTGGCAACATAGCCTGTGACTCTGTAAACAAGTCTCAGTTTAAAATTCACCTCTTTTTAATCCCCCAACCAACCCCCCTCTCCCTTGTCGACTGCTTCCTCCCAAATAAAAAAAGCAAAAATTAATCCGCCTTCGTCCAGGCGTGGAGCGTGAAACAACCCCTCCCTGAAAATCCTGACATCAGCCTATCTCAATCTACGGCTGCTAGAGGGTGTTCAGACGAGTGTGCACGCAAGGATCATCTGAACACAAGCGTACTCATACAAACACAGATTTAGTCACACACCTGCATGTATGCAAGCTTACACACACACACACACACACACACACACACACACAACACACACACACACACAAACACACACACCCACACACACACACACACACACCACACACACACACACACACACACACACACATGTACCCACGTTAATCCCCTCCATGAGTCTTTCCAACACCCCAAAAACCTTGAGTTTGAGGGTTATCATCCCTCCTTTCTGTCTCTCCACATTGGGATTTTGTCCCCATGGGTGCAAACGACTGGGAAGAGCTCTCTGATCTCGTGTGTGTGTGTGTGTGTGTGTGTGTGTGTGTGTGTGTGTGTGTGTGTGTGTGGTGTGTGTGTGTGTGTGTGTGGTGTGTGTGTGTGTGTGTGTGTGTGTGTGTGTGTGTGTGTGTGTGTGTGTGTGTGTGTGTGTGTGTGTGTGTGGTGTGTGTGTGTGTGTGTGTGTGTGTGTGTGTGTGTGTGTGTAGTGTGTGTGTGTGTGTGTGTGTGTGTGTGTGTGTGTGTGTGTGTGTGTGTGGTGTGTGTGTGTGTGTGTGTGTGTGAGAGAGAGATAGTGCTGCCACTTCACTGGTATCATGAGGGCTGAGCTGGGGCTGTTGCTCTGGGTCTTTTCCGCCCACAGACACCAGAATAACATGTTGAAACACACAAAGACAACACACAGCCAACACTTTGACGCATAAGCTCCACCTGTCAGTCCAAACCCTCATTCACACTTCCTGTTTAGATTTTCCCTAAATATTTTGTTTATTATATTATTTTCCAACCAAAATGAGTGTAGTATTATTGCAAAAAAAGAGGTAAAAAATAACAAAGACAGTAACATATTGTATTGAGTAGTAGAGTATATACATGTACATATGATTTTCATCATTTTAATACTAAAGCAGGATTATGTGATCTAAACTAAATGTTTTTTTTTTTAAATGTTGTTTCTCAGTTTTTTACGCTATAAATTGACCTAAACGGCTAGTGTTTATTTGTTTATTTTCTTCCAAGTACGAGACACTACATCAGTGGTTCTCAAACTTTTTCTGTCAGGCCCCCCCTTTGGAGAAAAAAAAAAGTCGGGCCCCCCCCAACACAAATAGTCAGGCTCAGTGACGGCGCCAGAGATTTATTTTGGGGGTGCTGTGGGGTAGCTTGACGTTTCATAGAGGGTGCTCAAACATTTAGGGTTTCCCATTAATGTACCGGGAGCTACAGTGGAATTTTCTACCGCAACACTCCCCACACGCACAGTGTTCCCGCAACTGTTACAATGAAGGCTCGATAATCAGCTCACGGCATATAGGTGTAAGCAGGGGTCAAGTGCTATTCTTATAGGTGGTGTGTGGACCTCACAAAGGGGGGGTCCGGGGGCAAGCTCCCCCGGGAAGATTTATTTTTAAATATTGAAGTTTAAAAGCATCAATCTGGTGCACTTGAGAGCAAAATGAAGAGAGCTATGGATACATCTATCAACACCCATATGAAACAGAACTGTAAACATATTTAACTTTTTCTTTATGGATATTTTACAAATCACCCTTTTAAACTTTATTCTTGTTTACTGTCATATAGTATTTCATAGCTGTTTTTCATTTATTCTCTTATTTTTTTATAACTATAATGATCATATAAATGTGTGCCTCGGAAATAATTGTTTACATTAATGGTGACCAAAACGTTTGAGACCCTCTGAGATAACACTGAGAGTCCTTTAGCTCACTGAGTCTCTCAGTCTGACAGGAGAGGACTCTCCTCCACTTTGTTGTTGAAAAAACTCCTTATATCCGTTAGCATAGCTCGCTAGCACCAGAAGCTAACAACAACGATCTCCGGTACCGGTGTGCTCTCTCTCTCTCTCTCTCTCTCTCTCGCTCGCGCACACAAAATGGCTCGTTCCACACACACACAGAGCCGAGCTTTAATGAAACACAGAGACCCAGACGTAATAGTACTGTACTGCATCATATTATTTTCGAATCAATAATTTTTCAAATTATGTTCTTTTTTTTTTTATAACCATTTTTCCTCCTGGTCTCTCGCGCCCCCCCTGGCATGCCTCTGCGCCCCCCAGGGGCGGCGCGCCCCCCACTTTGAGAACCACTGCACTACATCAACCTCCGCCTGACCCCACCAAACCCACAACATAGAGTGGGGCAACAATCACCAGCAGAAACTCTCTTTACCTTTAAACCATCTGCTTGCTGCTTCCCAACACTCTATGTCCTGAATAATCTGAGGCACCCATGGGTTTAAGCCCCTGTGGTGCCTTTTTTTTAAAAATCTCGGCTCGAACACTGGATGTCCCACAAGGCAAATACCGACTTTCAAGTTTCAGCTCAGCTTTCCTCTGTTGAGTTTACCCGCTGAGCCCTTGACCTGAGGCTAAAGGCTAAGGCGTTACCATGTAGCTAACTTCTTACCACATATTTCCAGGGAGCCAGCCAAGGTATTAGCTAACTCTCCAACAAGAAATAGGACTCAATGTTTAAAGTCCATGACTTCAGGGCTACGTTTCTAGCACTCTAAATGTAAGGTATTAATTGGCAATGTTTAATGCTTTGTAGATTCATAAACCACCTAGATGGGGTTTTGAGGTCTTGGACTTTTTTTTTATCCCAAAGGTATGCTTCAAGTTTTGGAGCTGCAGTTGTAACTACCCCTCCTCCTAACTACTTCCTGTCGAGGTTGGATATTTAAGCTTAGTCCACATATTAGCAATGGGGAGATTTAGCAGCAAGAGAAGTATAATCCTGAATCCTTTCCTGGTAAATCCAATATAACACAGCCAGTAAACACAACTGACAGGGATAAAGTCTGACACATGGGGATGTTTGGCATTGTGAATTACCGCAACAGCCAAAATGGGACACAAACTCAGATGATATAATGAAGTGAAACTGTAGACACATTTAATTGGTTTCTAAATGAATGTACATGGTCAATAGCTTGATTCAAGGCCTACGCAAGACAGTTAAGAATCTTGACGTTATCTTCCTACTCCGAAGCCACAAACATGGGCACAACACAACAGCACTTAATTTCGCCTATAAACTGCAGAAGTTTTCAGGGTAGGAAAAAGTGATTGACAGATGATTTGGCCAACATGACTGACAAGATGCCAGCTCCTGCAGACTTATATTTGACTGTCTTCTCTTTAAAGATCAGGAAATGAAAGGATAAAGAGGCAGATTATTACATTGTAGTGAATACTTGCAGATAGGATTAAGGAAAAATAGATAGCTATAACATTACTTGAGTCATTTCCAGCTGCAGACATTCAGATCAGGAGAAGCATGTCTGCGGATCACTGTGAAATAATGAGATATGAAAATGACTAGGGGGCACTGGAGGAGTAGAGGGCTGGGGATTGTGAAGGAGGTTTGCGTTTGATCCCATCTCTTTCCCTGCTCCGTCACTTCAATTATCGTCCTCTCCCATCACCCCATCTATTGGGAATATATGGCATAATTAAGCAAAAGCGTAAGAGCACTGTATAGGTTATTGGTTTAAAGCGGTGATTACTGCGCAGTGGATGTGTATGAGAGGGTGGTGAGAGAGATTTGCTTTGAGTTTGGGGCATTCTAGACAAACTGTATTTCACATTTTTTGACAAAGGAAGTCATATATCCTACAGAGAGGATGATTTTAAACAAATGGTTAGTACTTTAGCTGGAAAAAAAGCACACCATACACATAGTTATACAAAATACTTATTGTTTGGCTTCTTCCACGTCAGTGCAACACTCCCCAAAATGCAGTGTAGTTAATTCTGCATATGACCTTGCCCTCTAGGCATGGGGTACACCTGTGTAGCAATTGCAGTTTAAATGCCACTGTTTCTCGCATTGAATAAAGCATACGGAGTACCAACGAACATCAGCATTCAAATTTGTAAGCAGCGCTGTGAAATTCAAAGGTCGCTAATTTAACAAATGACATTTGGGATAGTGCTGAATGCATTTTGCTTATCACCGTTGGCTTATTAGAGTTTGAACTATAGCTAAAAAAGGGAAAATGCAGGTTGTTAAGCTGTAATTCACAGGACTTGATTTGAGGGCCTAGGCAATCTTGTTTTCATGTTTTAAACATTTTATAATGTGAAAGCCATCATTAAAAGTGTGCATAAGCACCTGGCTTGATGTTTAAATAGTGAAGTGCAACTTCTTCTGAGCTTTTTAATACCACTGAATTAATTCTCAAGGTTCTTTGTCTCTTTGCCTCCAGAACCTAGAGAACTACAAGCAGACGGCTGAACAGTACAACGAGGCAGCGAGCAAAGCTGAGGCCGACATCAGGTAAATACTGTGCAACACCATTTCCTGTGGAATGAACCATTCAGCGCACCATTACAGGGCTGCTCCTTACTGCCTCAGTACCGTTATGTTTTTTACGAGCCCATCATAGGCTAAAGCAGTTTGCCGAATTCATCTCTAAATAATCTATTAGTTGAGGCTGTGATTTTTTTTTGATGTCGTAACAACAGTGAGAAAGCAGATGTGGTCAGAGGCCTGAGTTTGAAGGAGTTTGCCATGTGTGTATACCGTTAATGGTACAGTCCACACATTACTTCCCACACATACAATGTTTAGGCTAAACGATGCTTTCTTATTATCTTTTCCCTCTCCTTTGTCATAGTATTGTGACAAAACTATGAAATTAATATATCATGTCTCACCATTTTCCTATTAAGATAAATTAGATAATTCTGACATTGTTGTTTCTCAGACTCTCAGAATATATTTATCTTATTTTAGAATTGTTAAACAATGTTCTTAACATAGCTTTTAATTGTCATCTTGTCATTACATGCATTTAATAACAAAACAATACCTAAATAATGAGGCAGTACTTTCATCTAGACCACCTGCTGCTTTCTTTCTCAATGTCTTGCTTCATTTGGAAGAAAATAGTGAAAAATACATAACAATATCAATTTTATTTTATTTATTTGTCTTTCCAGTACTCGGAGAGACAGATAGAATCGTGTGAAGCGGATTAGCTGGTTTTAAATATAATTTCAGCAGTGAATGTGCGCTCGATTTTATGTATTGATTTGTACAAAAATGAATACGTTCTTGTGGCATATTGAGACTCTTCCTACGATGTCCAATAACTGCTAAAATGTCTACATTAACATTCTCTCCTTTCTTCTTCTTTTGTTTATGATAATGCACCTCAATAGCCTTTGTCATGTAGCCAGTACCTGCTTAGTAATCATAGCAATACATGATGAACTCCCTGGCCTTTGCAATGGCCCCATTCGGCTGGTAGTAATAGTAGTAAAACAGAAACAGCAGGATTTGACAAGAAGCAGAGGTTCCTCTTCAGAGTTCAGACTTCTTCTTCTGCTGTTAAAAACATGTCTGAGTCATTCAACACTGAACTGCCAGAGAGTGTGGGCTGTGACAATTTACGCCCCTCTTTAACACCGATTCTTAACCATTTTTGAAGGGAGAATGAGCCGAAGAGGTCTGTGAATCCAATTTAGTCAGACAGCCATTAAAATCTTCTTCCCGCATGCATGGCAATGATTGTTGCAAAACTGATGAAAGACGACTAATTAATTCAGATCTTTTTTTTCATTGGTTATTTTCACACACTCATTCATCACCTTTTAGTTCCTATTAACACATAAAACCTTTTTTTACCTTCACACTTATGGTTGCGCATTCAAACCTGTAAAAGTAACAATGTAGGAGCCAGTTATATTACCCTCTGCTATTAAAAGTGTTTCATTTATGCAAGTCTCATTGGATTCACTGGGGATACAACAAATACAAATGAAAAGGAATAATCTCTCTGCGAGCATTAATCATTTGTATTGGGTTGATTGGGAAGTTTTACATTTATATTTAAATGGCAATATCTGAAAAGAAAAATTGTAATTGTTCTTGATCCTCTCATTTGCGTGCAGTTTGAACTAGATATTACACATGTTGTCGATTAGCTTTCCATTGGATAATGAGGGGAGAGCAAATGTGTGGCTCAAGTCATTAAAGGGTTTGTTGATGTGGGAGCAGCGCAGAGGCGTAATTGAATTAGAGCAAACTCTCTTTAATATCACAACCATCTGAATATACATCAGTTACTAACAAGGTGGGAAATGAAAGAAAGTCACTGTCATTGTCGGCACAGTTTTGCAGCATTAGTTTGTATGATGAGGCCTTGTGAGTTAAGGTGCATAAAAAAGCAACTTCCTATCAAATGATTGGCTTTCCTCCTTCTATCATTTAAAGTGTCAGACAAAATATAAAGCAACGCTGTTCTGGAATAAATTTGTGAATGTTATAATTGAGAAACCAGCGCAGCACACATCCCAGTTCTTCCCTGGCAACAGCAAGAGGAAAAGGTAGAAGCTCTGTCGTCTTGCTAGCTTTGCACTGTATGATAGGTAGTGACCTCATCCACATTTTCTTGCACCTGGTCCATTGAATTGAACAGAACACAATTCAAGTCCAACATTTTGTCCGAATGATTACATTAGCAAGGATTTGCTATTGTCCGTCTCTGCATTGAAAAGGTTAGGAGATCAGTTCTGCACGAGTTTGCCGAAAGAAGAGCATTTTGTCCTTCCACAATGTGTTGCTCATTATTTTTGTTGAAGTGCGCACACACACACCACATTTTTCACTCCCTTTTTTTCTTTCTATCTCTGCCACACATACAGGCACACTTTGTATTCAGGCAGCCACGAGCTCGTCATGTTCAGTCAGCATTTGGGCAGCGTTTCATTGTGCCGTGGTCACGCTGTCATTTCACACTACACTGACCACCCAGTAATTATTCTATTTACCCACCAGTGAAGGGAGGGGGTGCAGCGCAGTCCAACACATTATGTAGCTACAGCCTGACTCTTTCTTCTGTCTTTGTATCTGTCTCCAGTGTCGACCTATAAATCGCTCTCTTATTGTCTCATTCACCTAATTCTTAAATATATTTTCCATCTCAGCTACACATGGTTGCAACTTCTTTTATTGTTCTAAGCCTGTTTCTCCTGGAACTTTGATCTTCCTTTTCTCTTGATGTTCCTTTTGTCTTGAAAGAAGAGGAGTGATGAGGTAGCCTGTGTTAGTTATAATATTTTTGATCTCCTTCCTCTTGACAGTTTTGGCTGTATAACTGTTGTACCTGACTTGCAGAAAGACAGTATTCATGCAAAAACATTGGCTGATAAAAGCCGCAAGAAAGTCACAAAATACACTTCAATGACAACAACACAATGATTGTTACCTTAAAAGGAGTTTAGCAGTTAGGAATCAATATTCCTGTAATACGGGAGATCTTTATTGGCGCATTTGTACTTGTGGAGAGGGTGATTGGAGCTGTTAGTATTGGTGGAAGATGTTGACAAATTGATTTCCTGCTGTAAGAAGAAGGAACAAGTTTTATCATTAACCTAAGCAGCATCTGAAATGAAGAGCCAGCGGCAGTATAACACAGTCTGTTCTGTAAGACTAAACCTATATGTTAAGAAAATTACAATTTAACGAAAAAAACAAAACAAATCTAGTTTTCAGGGAGATGGAAATCAGGTACAGTTCTGAGTAGCTGTAAAGGACATCACCATAACAAATCTCTAGTGATTTCCACTTTTTTTATTGACAGTTTTCCAACTTTGGTTCCTTCTTAATAGCTGTGATTCCAAAACCAGCCCAACATCTGAATGCAAATGTGAAATCTAGAAGCTGCCTCTCTCACCTGATGAGGTTGAATTTAAGATGGAAGCCTCCTGTGCTATTGCCTCTTTATTCCTGCATCGGACAAATCTGTAAAAGGTTATGTTGTCTACTTGCCTCGCCCAAACACATGGAGCATTTTAAAGAAGTTCATCCATTAGCCTTGCCTTGGGGTATCCGACTAGCTATATTCCGCAAAAATACCTCACCCGAGAGACCCACAAGATTGCGGCTTAGCTTACTTTAGGATCTAAAAATCCATTAATCCTCTTAAAAAAAAAACTGGTTAACCTCAAAGTGTTTGTAAAAAGACAGAACCTGAGTGAACCTCAGGTGGATGTTGTTGTGAGTATTCACCATGAAGTAACTGCTGACAGTTTGTAGTTAAAAGCCTTCTTTTATATAGGGTTTGTTATTTCTTCTTTATGTGTCTATGTGTGTGTGTATGAGGGTAGCATGTCCAATTAGTGAAACAGACAGGTAGCTAACTCTAAGGATCTCTGTGCCCCACACGGTAGTAGACTGCTAGTCATTACCAGAGACAGGACCTGTCTGCACTGTGTGGTTCAACAAAGATTTACCATTAAGACAGAAGGCTCGTACACACAGTGCTTCGTGTGTGTGTGTGTGTGTGTGTGTGTGTGTGTGTGTGTGTGTGTGTGTGTGTGTGTGTGTGTGTGTGTGTGTGTGTGTGTGTGTGTGTGTGTGTGTGTGTGTGTGTGTGTGTGTGTGTGTGTGTGTGTGTGTGTGTGTGTGTGTGTGTGTGTGTGTGTGTGGATATAGATATATAAACACCTACACACAGATACAGTACAGATTTAGCCTGTGCAGTTGCAATAGATGTGATAAATAAAGACAGTGTAAATTCTCATTTTACATTTTTCACATTTCCATCATTTATTCAAGACATTTCCTTTTACATGTTGATGATGTATGATGTAAGACAGTTATGTACGTTACAGTTTAATTGGTCTATTTGCCATTTGCATTTCTAGTTAAATAAGACATTGCCTGCTGTTAGTATAAGAAGTAGGGATCATCTAAGTAACCGAGGCCTGACCCAGAACTTGAGTCGGGCGGCATCAGAATCACATATATTCTAATCAGGAAAGGTTGGGTCCCTTTCCTTTGCAACCAGTTTTGGGTCTCTATGTTAAATATACAGTAATTCCCAAATGGATTAGATTGAACTCCCCTATTAACTCTGACATTGTGGTGTGTCATATTCATCACAGCAGAAATACGACAATTTTGTAGTCGGAAAAGTATTTCCTCCTACTCTTTATTGACCTTTTCTGCTTGTTTAGTCTACTGTTGCCATTCTTTGTGATGTAACTCTGCTCGGGTCATCTGCATTCTGGACAAGACAACAGGAGATTATTTAACACTCATGTAGCAATGTAACATACAGCAAAGCAAAGTAAAAGATTATTTCTCTTTGTGTCATGGATTTTAAAAGCTACAGTGCTTCTTTTAAAGAAAAGTGAAGTTGTTTGAAGTAAAAGGAGCTTCAAATGATAAAAAACTGGAATTGAAATAGTTGATGATAAAAAGGCTAGTGATGTAGAGTGATAGCAGCCAATGGCTCCGGAGAGCATGTCCCCCCCCCCATCCCCATC